AAGAACCCCTTCATTGGAAAATAGAGTGTCGATGCTCTTTGTAGCCACTGCAAATGTCTCGAAAGAGTCAGAACTAACAAGGAGAAAATATTGCTTCCGCAGTTCTCATTGAGCATGTAGAAGGCGAAAAGCCGAATATCCGGCTTCGCGTTATAGTCATAAATTTACTAGCCATTATCACATACCAGAGAGAGTGGGTCAAGAGCGATTCCGCATGTATAAAAGATCGTTTCAGAATCATCAATCGCGTTAATATCCCACTAAAGACGTAGCTCGCTTGCAATTACTTTTCTATACAGTCTTAAACCTCGATCCCTTCTAGCTACGTCTTTCACACGTCAGAATAAATTAAATTCCTTCGCATTAGAAATGCTAGACGCAAGTTAGGAAATTACCGTAGGAAATTATCGTAGGAAATTACCGTCTATATGGCTCGATAAGCAAATCCGAATACCAGTTTATAAATGTTGAAGCAAAAAAGCATCCATCAATTCTCCATAATTTCTCTATTAACGGCGAAACTGAATAGCACACGCGCATGGGAGCCAGAAAATGGACGCGAATTTTAATGCGTAGTCAGGGTCATATTATTCGTGGCAATGCGCCCGATTTACTCCACTTCGTTCTACATACATACCTGCCAAGTGCACGACACGTATAAAATACTTCTACATCCGGTTGTTCCTGATTTCTGATTTCGGTGGAGGCATTACGATCACCGGTGCATAGAGATCGTGGAATTTTAGATGAGCGCGATGGGAAAGATTATGGTTGCTAACTAATGGAAAGTGCTAAATAAAGTCGTCCACTCGCAACGGAGTCAAGTAATAATATCGACCCGAATAAAAATCGCTGATCCTTAAAGTACGTACATCGCACATTTACATCGTTTTCTATTGGAAATTTACTATTCTATCCACTTTACTGTTGTAATTGAAATTTAGAAATATGTACTTAAATATATAGCTATAAGAATGAAGGTGTCTTTTTTACGAGAATGTATTAGAAACATTCGTGCAAAACGACCTCGTGTAAACTTGTGAAACCGGATGCTATACTGTCGTACAAACCACAGATATCTGAAAACTTGTAAACGAAATACTTCGTTTATCGTAATATTTCATAGCCGTGCATTAAAGTTTAGTGCCTAATAAATTGATTAGAAATTTTTGAATCAAATCAGTGAGAAAATTACTGCTACGTACCAAGTTAACTCTGTCTGAAAATGTCTACATCGACTTCACGATTGAATTATTCATACGCACCTCGTAAAATGACAAAGAGAACCACGTTGCTAATTGACGAACACGTTATCTGTACCTCGATCAAAGAATACGAGAAGAATCGCTGAAAGTGAGAATATCAAGAGATTGTAAGCGTGGATTGAAAAGTGTTTCTTGAATTATCGTAAAAGCACGTTGCCATGTCCCCATCACTCCATGTACGACACAGAGTTGAAGAGAGTTTATTCCGGTGAGCATCTCGCGATTGCCTTATTCGTTGCGCCGATGGGTGTCTTCTTCCACTTGGCTCAAGATTCGCGAGTGTACGACCTTGACATCGATCGTCCTTGGACCCGAGGGGAAATCGTGCGAAAGTAATTTTCAGCCTCCTTCTTTTCTCTGTCTTTCTCTCTCTTACTTGCGCCACTCATCTAGAAAACTGCATGATCCGCGCCAATAAGCAGTGAGTTCCGTGCTAAATCGTAGACGAGACGTATATCACGGTTTTGATCCGCCTAGAAACTAGCTCGAAGCATGACTATCTCGAATGCAACTCGCGTGCAGACACGTCCGTGTACAACGCAGTTTGAATGTCTCAAGAGTCGTCGGCCCAATGCCTCGTGAACTCGGCATCCAACGTGGTTCGCGTTAGTAGCTGATTCCGCGACGTGTGCACCACTTTCAAACTTTTGACCTGAAAACGAACACTCCACGCCTATACATGGAAAGCACGTAGCCGTAAGTTACCGCGAGGTCTTGGTCAGAAACCTGGCCGGTTTGAATCCTGGCCGAAGTTTAGTGGTACCTGTGTACCACTTATATAGCTATATGTCACCCGAGGCGCAAAAGGTATCTGGTAACTCAAGCTACGAGAAACAGGATATCGAGACTATACTCTCGTCTATTTCTGCACTCGATATCCTTCTGCGCGAGAAAACCAATTTATCGAAAATGGAATTGTAAAGTATCAGTGTTGCCATGGTTTTGCTTGAAAATCTGATCTTCGAGTAAGATTAACTTCTCGTACAGTGCTCGCTCGCGAAACAACTCGAACACTTACTATAGAAATTTTTTAGGAATATATTACGTGCATTATACGAAGCTTCTTGAAATCTCGTTAATACTGCGATCAGACACGATTATCCTGATTGCGGTAGCAAATTTGAAACCAATCCGAAAATGTATATAGAAATTGCAAGTTACGCGTTATACGTAATGAAATACGTTATACGTAGTGAAATACGTTTCTAAGAATAGTCGAAGTGCTAGCTGTTTGAAAATATAATAGATCAACGTGTATCAGTTTTTACGAAAAATTGAACCAACTATACACGAATTATACATACATAAAACAACCTCGCGAAAACGATCAGTTTGATCGATTCTCCGTTCGCGTGATATAGACACCGCGCAATTTTTTGTCCACTGTTAGTTACGTTTCGTTAAATTGCCCGAAGCGGCAATTTCGAGAGCCTGTACCTATGATTTCTATAGCATAGATGAATGAGTCATGGTTGACGTTGGCTCTGCAAAGGTCTCGCGTCTGCCGAAATCTATTCTACTTCGCGCTTGAATAATTGCGAAACTCAGTCAAATCCCTCGATTCAATACCTATGATCGCTCTACATAGGATACAAAGTCATTATCATCTGCTGTCGTTGAATTCCGATGTACAAACTAATGACACACAGCGCGTGCTTTACAAACGTATTTGGAACGCGATTTTAGTCCTTTTCGAAAGATTTATGGATTAACCATTTATAAGTTATTGGGCATGAGCACGCAGCACTAGGGCATTATTCGACAAACCAAAGTGCAACGTACTAATGACATTATGATAAAACTGGGCGAATAACGAATACGTTATCCGATCATCGTAAAAATAAAGAATCTAAAGTCTTCTAAAAACATTGCAAATTCTCGTTCTTTATTAAGATAAGAACGATGAAAGTTCGAGAATCGCGGCAAGGTTAAAAAGAGGAGTTCTACGCAAGTGCGAGCAAGAAACGTCATCGACTTCCCGTAGCATGTTCGTGGCCGAAGTGTAGCTCGAACAATAGGTTACTGTACGTTTCTTGCATGATGTAAAAAAGACGAAAGAAATTCCGGTTGCTAGTTGACCGCGCGAGTTTCAGATACCTGAAGACGTCTCGATGGGTTTGCGTAGTAGACGATCGACTAGTAACACGATTGCGGCTCGCTTGACTCGAGCGAATAAAACGATTCTAATGGGCCGGACGTTTCTCTGAAGCGGACAAGCGTAATCACGCGAGGCAGCTTGCAAGGAAGTAGTTACCGAGAAGTAATTAGCGTACACAACGTGACACCGTCTAAACGACGATCGAACGAGCCGTGATTCAACTACGGTCACCTTTCGTGCCAATTCATTAATATGCGTATTGCGACCAAAGAGAATTCATCGGTACATGGGGGCAAGCTATTGGTCAGCGGCGTCTGCGGCTCTGTTTCTCAACGACGACTAATCGAAAATGCATCTCACGTACCACGTGCGACCAAACTGTGCTGCTCTTTGGCTACTGACGCGTTTCAAGGATCAATGAATAGGTTTGATCGCGGCTCGCTGCCAAAGAGTCCGTCCTCGTGCGTGAGAACTTTCCCGAGAAGTCGACAACAGAACGATACATCGGCTACGACTCTTTCTGTCTCTAAGAAAAACTCGAAATAAATATGTATTTATGAAATCGCTGATAAGCCATGCCGATCAATATCTTAAATTAAAATGCATACGAAAAACGACAATGACAAACATAATGCGGAATTGATAATTTTGTGATAAGCGGAGTCGATTAATTTCGCCTCTGAGAAATTCATAGAAATCTCGACATTTCTTTAGCTACTCTTACTTTTCTTGCGAAATTTAAACAGGAGGATGGGATGTCAAAGATTGACATAAACGAATTTATTACAGGGAATTCGTGTAATGCATACCCGTATATACGTATATCTGTTAAATTATGTACTTATACATACATATATTTTCAATGATAACGAAATATTCTATTACTCGTAGTATATAGTTTTACTGCATACGTGACACGTAAGGAATACTGCTCGAGTTGATTACGGTCTTCGAAGCAATTGAATTCAACTTCTACTTTCTGTCCGCAAGGAAAACCTCGTTCCTGAGATATTTACTTAAAAGGAACATTTTGCTCTTTCTTAGCATTCAAACAAAAATTCATGAATTGTCAGCCTTACCTATGGAATACGTTTTCAGAAATGTGAATCTTCGCTTAAATTATACATACAAAGAAGGTAAAAAGAATCGAATAAAAAACAATAATTAAAAGCAAACGAATATAGAACGTTCATTCATAAAATGATAGAGGAAGGGGATAGTTAATGATACAAATTTGCGAACTGTGGAAATAAATAATCTTCGCGTATGAGTTCATGGATTGTGCTTATGCGAACGTTGTATCATTTTATTTGCGATAAATCAAATTCAGATGTAGATACGTGTAACGGAATATAAATAGGTACATAAATATAAAATAATGCAACGAACCATGAATTAGATTTTTATTCGATACGTTTCACATTGGAATATATCGATCGGAATCGAAGCGAGTCAATTATCAAAAAATTCGTACTTATCCGAAGATTTAGTCGAAAGCGCAAACCTAGTTATAAGAGAATAAGCAAATTCGAGGCGTTGAGAATCGATGATGCGCGATCACGTGGCGCGCGTTCGGGACACCTCGCTATAGGCATCGTACTCCTGGAGACAACGGTGACTAGAGGTAGCAAAGAGAGAAGAACTGCCTTATAGGGGAGTTAAGCGCACGGCGACGACGCCTCGGTTGATCTTCGTCTCGTCTTGTCTCGCCTGGCCTCGCCTTGGATCGGATCGGATCGTCCATCGCACTTCGCCCCGCCTTGCGTCGCATCTTCTCGCGTACATGAACGCTTGTGCCGACGTCCCGCGACCCCGATCCTTCTCAGAACGCGCGCTAGAGACTGCATCGGGTTTTTAGCGCGATCTTGAAAACGGAAAATGTTTCTTTTTTCGTCGAACGTTGCCCGTACTCGCCCATCGACGTAGCTCTCCAAAGCTGTTTCTCGCGAGTCGCGCTGAAAATCACCGACGAAGGGTGAAGTATGTAACACGCGCTATCTCGTCGGAACTAACCGATGAATATTTATCGGCGTCCAACTAATCGTTTGAATTAATTATCATATTTACTTGGTTCGACAATTTTTATCGTGAAGAATGTGTCACGATTAACGGTTAGCTGAGTTACACGGAAATCGGGAAAAGAGGGAATGATCGATGGGGGATGTCGTTTGGATATCGAACGAATACGAAGCGCGAAGAACGAGAGAAGCCGCAACTGCAAGAATGAAAATGGACGAATAGAAGGAATATTGATAAGGAGAAAAAGCGAACCGATAACGACTGGAAGAAAAATGACGGATGATAGTTTGAGACGCAACCCTGTCCATCTAGCGCTGCACGGCGTGGATTGGCGATGGAAAAAAGCGGAAGATTGAAAATCATGGTCGATCGAACGGTAGAACGTGAAACGAGTAATAGGTTCTGTAAACGTCGAGGATGACGATTCGATTAACGATGTGGGATCGCAGTCGATATATCCTCGCAAATAGTCATCGCGACTTGCCGAGCGTGGAACGCAACGAGGAAAGGGTCACATCGCAGATCGTTCTCGAGATATCACTGTTCCCGGAGCTGCCCTAGTCGAAGAAAGAGAAAAGGTATGAACGAAAGGAAGAAAAAGGGCGAAGCATGTACGTATAAGACTACGGGAGAAGACGAACAGGAGAAAGAAGAGAAGGGTAAGAGCGAAGGAGGAAGAGGATGAGAAGGATGAGGTGGCGCGATAGCGGCAAAGATGAGGAGGGTGGGAGATGGAAAACGCGGCCCGGCTACGAAATGGCCGTGCCCCAAAGAGGCCAACGATCGAGAATGACCACCCGACGTCTCCCTAAATAATGATAATCCCAGCACCCTGGTTTCTAGCGTTCCTTCTCGTGCGAAACTTACGAGAGCCTATAAACCTAACGAAAAGGCGTGAACTCGGATCACGAGAGATTCTTAATTCTGAAGGGACGATCAAAGACTACTTTGAAAGGTAAGACGCCTTTACTGGTTTTTCGAAACATCGTCGACCTATAAACCAACGTGAGTTGTTTCGTTGAATTCGTTAAATCTTGAGATAGCGCGTTAGTAGGTAACAGTATGTTAAAGGGGTACGTTGAAATTCCATCTATCGTACGACAGACGGTCAGGTGTCGATCGATCGATCAATTATCGAGAGATTCGGAGAATCCGAACGGCGGCATCGGTGGCGGTGACGGTGGTGACGATGTAGTTTTCGGTAAATGTGTCGAAGCCCACCGACCCGCGATGCGGTGTCGTTGCCCTCTTCTCTTC